TTTTCAAATTTTTTTACAGGAAATATCTAAAAATATATATTCTAAACATGTTAAATTAAAAATTCAGTGAGGATGTATCATAGATAGGTGACTTTAACATGTTTAGAATATATATTTTTAGCTATCTCCTTTAAAAAAATTTGAAAAAGTTCAGCGATTATGACAATTGTCACCTATCTATGATACATCCTCACTGAATTTTAAATTTAACATGTTTAGAATATATATTTTTAGATATTTCCTTTAAAAAAGTTCAAAAATAGCGATTATGACAATTGTCACCTATCTATGATATATCCTCACTGAATTTTTAATTTAACATGTTTAGAATATATATTTTTAGATATTTCCTTTAAAAAAATTTGAAAAAGTTCAAAAATAGCGATTATGACAATCGTCACCTATATATGATACATCCTCACTGAATTTTTAATTTAACATGTTTAGAATATATATTTTTAGCTATTTGCTTTAAAAAAATTGAAAAAAATTCAAAAATATTGATTATGACAATTGTCACCTATCTATGATACATCCTCACTGAATTTTTAATTTAACATGTTTAGAATATATATTTTTAGATATTTCCTTAAAAAAATTTAAAAAGTTCAAAAATAGCGTATATGACAATTGTCACCTATCTATGATACATCCTCACTGAATTTTTAATTTAACATGTTTAGATATATATTTTTAGATATTTCCTTTAAAAAATTTGAAAAGTTAAAAAATAGCGATTATGACAATTGTCACCTATCTATGATACATCCTCACTGAATTTTTAATTTAACATGTTTAGAATATATATTTTTAGCAATTTGCTTTAAAAAACTCAAAAAAGTTCAAAAATAGCGATTATGACAATTGTCACCTATCTATGATACATCCTCACTGAATTTTAATTTAAAATGTTTAGAGTATATATTTTTAGCTATTTCCTTTAAAAAAATTTGAAAAAGTTCAAAAATAGCGTATATGACAATTGTCACCTATCTATGATACATCCTCACTGAATTTTTAATTTAACATGTTTAGAATATATATTTTTAGATATTTCCTTTAAAAAAATTTGAAAAAGTTAAAAAATAGCGATTATGACAATTGTCTCCTATCTATGATACATCCTCACTGAATTTTTAATTTAACATGTTTAGAATATATATTTTTAGCAATTTGCTTTAAAAAAACTCAAAAAAGTTCAAAAATAGCGATTATGACAATTACCACTTATCTATGGTACATCATCACTGAAATTTTGATTTAACATGTCTACAATATATATTTTTATCTATTTCATTTAAAAAAGTTCAAAAATAATTATCATGACAAATGGCACTTTTCTATGGTACATCACTTAAAAATTTTAAAATATAACTATGATGAATAGTTAATCAGAGCATTATAATTTAAAGAAGCTTTAAGTAACTTTCCCGCCTATAATATTAATATTACTAAATGTTATTTGACTTTTGGTCGAAAAAAATGATCTAGATAATTGGGTTAGGAGTGAAAAAAAGCAACCCTAACTTTAAGTCGTCTTTAAAAAAAAGATCCATATTTTGGGTCGGATTGAATAAAACGACCCGATGTTTGAGTCTGAGTCAGAAAAACGACCCAAACTTTGAGTTGGAGTCGAAAAATACGACCCAAACTTCAAGTTTGAGTCGAAAAATACGACCCAAACTTCAAGTTTTAGTCGAAAAATACGACCCAAACTTCAAGTTTGAGTCGAAAAATATGGCCCAAACTTCAAGTTTGAGTCGAAAAATACGACCCAAATTTTGAGTCGGAGTCGTAAAAAACGACCCATATTTTGGGTCGAGGTCGTTTTTTTCGGCTTGGACTTGGGTCGGAGTCGAAAAAAACAGCCGAAAAAAACGACTAAAACTTTGAGTTGGAGTCGAAAAAAACGACCCAAAATTTAAATGAGCTCTGTTCGAGCCGACTCGGCTAAGCCGATTAACAACACTAGCCATATTTTAGAATTATGGCTTCCAATTGTTCACCCAACTTTAACGAAGATTATATGAAGACCACCGAAAAATCAATAAAATAGAATAATTTTTTATAGGAGGAACCCGGCCAAAGGTTGGGTAAAACTGGATTTGGGAGCGAAGCCCTCCATAAAAAATGTTAACCCCACCCCCATGGAAAAATCCTGGCTATGTCACTGAGTAGATTATATGATAAAGACATTGCAGCATAATATTGATTTTATCACTAAGATGAATTCCTCATAGAATACGAATACCAAAAATACTTAAGAAACTTTATTTAAACAAAAATTATCTTATAGAATATTAAACATAGACGAGAAAAATATTTAGATTGGTAAAAAAAAATTAAATATGCAAAATTTTATTCGATTGAAACAAACCTCATTTCCGTGGTTCGTTTTTATGATGCATTCTGGGAAGAAGCAATTTAATTCCAATCGATTCATATCATATTTAATCCTTTGAAAAACTAATTTTAAATGTATATAAAAATTTCGAAATCATTATTTCTATTTTATGCTAAATGGTAACCAAAATAATCATTCATTTTTATAAACTTCAAAAAAGAAAATAGTGCCTATTGGTGAACCTGTATAATATTAGTTTATTCAAAATTTGTAAAGTGAATATTCCTTTACGAAAGTGAAAATTAATTTTTTTAAGGTTAAAAAAAGCAAAAATCTCTAAAAAATATATATAAATGTCACGCTTCAAAATTTGTTTTTTAAATCCAAAGGCTGAGATTAGATACTGATTTAAAATAATAAAAATATCTGAAAGTGAAATGGATTAGCCTGATTATATAAGCAAATTATACTGAAAGAAATTCATTTTTGGAATATAAAGATTAACTTATTTGATTGATTATAAATAGAATAGTCTACTTTAATTTTGATATGAGAAATTGAAAAAATGAATAAGTCTAACTAGGATATGGGCAATTTTCCAGGAAAAAATGAAATTAACCAGGAAATTTAAAAATTTTCTAAATATTTTTCCAATTGATAATATTAATGTAGCTCTAATTTTAAATACTCATAATCCTAGCCAACAATAATAAAATAATAATTTTTTTAAAATTAACGAATCTACCTATTAAAAATTGTGGCTTTTAGCGTGCTATATTTATCTGAAAAATAGAAGCAACAATGTAGCGTTTAACATAACTTATGATTAATGTATTTGAGATTAAATTTTAAAATTTAATAGACAATTTACCTTTCCATACTGATCAAATTAAAAAAATAAAATAATTATAATAAGTGTAGTGAGCATACTTTTAACTTTTTTTTAAAATTATACAAAATGGCACACAAATCTCAGACACCTGCAAAACTCTTATCAGAAGCCCGAATTAAAAATTACACGATGAAGCATTTGAATTGAATATTATATTGTAAAATACAGTCAAAATTATTTAAAATTACCAAATTCTAAAAACATTGAATGTCTTAAAAAAATTTGGGATGATTTTAAAAAATCAGGAGTTGGCTGTAGTACTATGATAAATCAAACTTTTAACATAAATTTTGAACTTGAATGATTTTCCTCATTAATAAATAAAACCGTATATTATTTGTTTAAATTACTAATTTTCTTGATAAGAATTGTTTGTTCTACACAGGGTGATTCCTTTATTGGAATTTGTTCAGGAAATCATATTCTCTGATAGAACATACAGTTACCTTATTACCCAGACATAGTTTTGATATTTTTTTAATATATCCGCTTCTCGATAAATTGCATTAAAAACTTATAAGACAGAAATGCCATTAGTAATGTTGTAAAACACGTGTTTTTAGCAGGGAGTCAAACTGATAGGTATAACGGCTCTTATTTCCCTCATGGCTACTTTAAAAAGATTTTATATCGATTAGCTTTCGTTTATAAGTCCATATAAGTTCCTTTAGGTTTTCTAGTTTTCATAAGTTTTGTATTTTTAAAATTAATCTTCATTATATATTATTCAACATCTAAATAATTTAATAAATATATTTTAAAAATAAAAACCAAATAAAATTATGAATTTCTTTATATTATTACAAAACATGCATAAGAAATAACAAATTTAGTAACATAATATTAACCACATTATAATTTATACTAAAGTTTTCAACAATATTTTAAATGCCAATAATTTAAAAACTATCATGAACCAATGTTCGCTTCACTTCTTTCAAAATTTCCTAATAACGGTTCGGTGCCGGCTATGAATATTATAATGGTTTTACGGTTCGGTTTAATATCGACATCCTGGCTTTTAGATATTATTGATTGATGTCATTTATTTTTAATGAAATTAACGTTTAAAATAAATAAGGTGTATGTGTATCGAAATCTAAATATACCACATACTAATGCCGTTTATAAAAATATTTATAAAGTTAGTGGTTAAAATAAAAAACTCAAATAAAGCCCTTCAGTCAAGTTGGAACAAACATTTGTATCATACTCTTAAAAGTAAATCGAACCTTTTCATGAACGGGTTAAACGTTTTCACTAATGACTTATTTTTATTAAACCAATCAAACAAAATACATATTCATTATACTTATTTAGTTTCCTTAATGAGTCTGAATTAATTTTCTAGAATTTCGAAAATCGTAAACTTTATTATTTTTACCCGTTGAAAAGCAACCTTTATACATAATGGTCCGAATCCCTTATTTAAATATTATTTATAAAAATATAATCAATGCCCCTAAATGGACCACTTATATAAAATAATAAGAAATAATGTTTTTTATGGGATTCAAACTATAATCGAAATTTTCAAAATAAAAAGATTTAAAAAGAGTGAATAAAATAAATCAAATTTTTAACTAAAAATCACTTAAAAGATAAATGTTTTTTCTCCAAATTAGCGAAAAAATGAAATTTATATATCCGCAAACAAGCTCTAAAATTTAAAAGAAGCTTGAGACCCCCCCCCCATCCTAAACGTCATTGTTAAGCTTAGGAAAGGTATAAGTATTGCAAGGACGGATCATATTGATTATGAGTGATATTTTAATTGATTGTATGTATGGCATTGTTAATCATATTTATGAGATTACATCAATTTTCGGCAGATGCAGGTACATATGAATAATATCTTTATAGTTACAAAATAGATTCTTGTATGTAATTTATAAAAAAAAATATTTTATTTTATAAATTGTATTAAAGTTTTGCAATTATTTTTTTATATATCGATTTATTTAATATATAATAACTTTATTTAATAATTTTAATGTAGAGACTTAATGTCTCATTTAGGTGAGTCTTTCAAAAGTTAATTTAATTTCATAAATATGAATAACAATTGGCTTGGCACGTATTAAATAATTAAATAAAAATAAAGAGTTTATTAAAAAAGGTTCTTAGAACATATAATTCCTAAAAATATTTTATAATATTGCCATATGCCAGCAATTAAACGTAAAAATATATATAATTTATTAAAATTTTGTTATAAAAATTTTATAAAAAATAATCAAATATTTTTGGAAGCTTTATAAATTGCACATACAGAATAATTGTGACTGTAAATGTTTTAAATTAAATAGCACCGATTAGCGTTTGCTTTGGTTATATTATATTATGTGAGATCCAAATATATTAGGTGTTCTATGGATTGGGAAACAAAATAACGAATTCAAGTTAAATATAGGTGAAAAGAAGCGTTTAATTTTCTTCTTAAAACTTCCATCCTTCTTTAATCGATTGAAATTTTCAATTTTGCTATAACTAAAATATTTTTTTTAAAGAAAAGTAATCATCATATTTATATTAAATTGATTTATAAAAAATAAAAATTAATTATAGTTAAGATGGACTAAAAAAGTGTTCTGGATCTGAATATTTCCCAAAAATAAAAAGTTATGATTTTTAGTTTTGATGTGGTTCAGAGAGGTTTCCAACAAGTTCTGGCTTTTAATGAACAACTTTCTTTTTTTAAAAAATGCAACAAACTGTTAATTATTTAAATAGGTATAAAATATATTTCGATCGTTTTATTATTTTAAAGTCAATATAACTTGATAAGTATTTGGGTTATAAAAATTTCATTTTCATTAATATTTAAATAAATATTTGCTTTTTGGGTAATATAAAAGAATATCGATTAAATATAATAATTATTAATGGAAAGATAGTATTAAATATAGTATGTCATAACTTTTCTGAAACCAATATTTTAAATAATATACAAGAAAAGATCTAGATTCTGGCTTTAAACCCTAATTCTAATATTTAAAGATAATTAAATTGAACAACGAGTTTCTATGCCTTTTTTAAACTTAAAACATCCATTCATTTAAAGTTGCAGTTAAAATAATTGTAATAGCTTTGTAATTTATACAGTGATATATATGTATATCCTCAAATTTCATGTATATAATAATGTGATATTTAAATATCATACTTAGTTGATAAAAGGGCATTCGAAAAATCAATTTTGAAGGAATGCCGGCCCTTCTTTGAATCATATTTGCCTTTTGTTATGATGGGATAATTGGCGCGAGAAACGAAATCTACAAAAGTGACGTAAGTGTTGTCAAAAACTTGAGAAGAAATTTTGGTGAAAAAATTAAACCTAAAAATTAAAAATAATTTATTATAAAATTTAATTATAGAACAGATATAATATTTAGTATACATTGAAAGTTTACGTAAGTTGTGTGAGAGGAGTTTAGTTTATGGCGGCGAAGCATGGGCAATGAAAGTGTCCCACGAGGCTAAAAATTAGCAAGGAACTGCGAGCGAAGATGGGAATAGAAGTGAATGTAGCAATAAAAAGAAATAGACTAAGATAGTTTAAGCATGTGGAACGTATGACAAAAGATGACTGGGTAAAGAGATGATCCTTGATGGAAGTAGGAGGATCAAGATTTCGAGGAAGACTTAAGATGACATGGATAAAGGTGATAGCGACGGATATGCGCAAAATGAATCTTACGAATATTGATGATAGAACCGTCAAAAATGGAAAAGAAAAATCAGATGGGAACTGGCAAATCTGGAAATCGCTATAAACGGAGAAGTTCTATATTGATCGGAAAGTATTCAAAAAAGATTGTCTTTTAATATGGGCATATTTTACATAAAGATTTATTAAAGAAGGAACAATTTCGGTTATATGCGTTGGATTATAATTTGAATATTAGTGCTTTTAGTAAACTATTATTGTTATTAGAACTCATCAAGTGTGTGGAACTGTTTGAATTAGATACCAACAGGTTCACATCGTGTGCTTACCACTGTACGAATCTAGAAAAATAATTCCCAGGAAAAAAAATTCCCTGGAAGATTACTCCCCGGAAAATAATACTCCGAAACAAAATTCCCTTGGAAAATAATTCTCCGGAAAAAAATACCCAAATAAAATATTTAAAATATTTGAGAAAATCAAAAAAATTCCTAAAAAATTTTTCCAAATAAAATTGTTAAACAAAACTATGAATAATAACTGGGATTAATATTAAACCTACCAAAATTTTAAATTATTATAAATTTTCGAATATATGCTTTGAAACTTCATCCGATGCAATAATTTTTGGAAGACTCAACAAGTGTTATAAATTGATCTAGTATTATCGATAAGTGGTTGTACTGTATTTTGAATTTGAATTTTTATATAATCATATGTTTATTTCTAAACTAATGATGAAATCGAAACTACTATATATTCTCAATTCATTCTATATTATTGATGTGGTATTTCTATGGATTCAAATATTCTTTACTCATTCTATATTATTGATGTGGTTATTCTATGGATTCAAATATAGATAAGATTACTAAATTTATATTTTCTTTTATAATACTCACTACTAAATCTCACTATTACAAAATCGGAAAGGGTAAGTTCCACTCATTTTTGTTAAATTACAATGGGTGCAAGGTTTGTTGGTATTCTTGAGAAAAAATTGGTATAATTTTATGAAGGGAGGGCCTTCATAAAATTCATGTTCGCTCATTGAGCAGGTCTATGACAAACGTGTTAGATAAGATAAGATTAATTAACCCTAACCAATATAATGTATAATGTCATGGCATTATCCCGAACCCAGGTTTGATGAAAATTAAACAAAACAATATTTATAAAATAAACGAATTGAATACAGTCTCTGTGATATTAAGCAAAATATTATTATAAGTTAAGTATTAATGATGGCCAGCCCAGATTTTTTTTATTTTGGCCCTATAAATTCATACCTTTTTTGAGTCGGAACTGCAATACTTTAATTAAATCAAAATGTATTTTAAATTCAAATTCACTAGAAGAGTTGAGGTTTTAAATAATAAAACGAAAGTTAAATAAATCTGGTCACCTATTTTAATCAACATTTAGATATTTATTGAAAATCAAATTTTTATCATATAAAGATCATTTCCATGAAGTTTTTAGAAATATATTAAAAATTTTAATCAGTTGGATATAATAGGCTTTTCAAAATTGCCTTCAAAAATAATTGACCAATTTTTCAATTGGTGTAATTTTGTTATACAATATATGAAGTCTTTTTCTGATGATTTTTAGAATTTTAAATATATTCTGTTCTATGTCACAAATTTGATATTTGTCATGTTGGCAAAAATAATAGCATGACTTTTACTAACTCTTAGCGCAATTTTTTGTTTTTAATGCTAATGATGAGCTATTAAATGATAATTATATATATAAATTATGCGATGAAATAAGAAATTTGCAATTCAATCTCGTCTCCTCTATTTGTTAAAAATTATTCTACTGAAGTATTTAATGCCTACTATAAGAATTTAACGCCCCCTCCCGCTTCATGATAAATATAAAGGGATATTGAAATCGAAATGAAAAGTAAATTATGGAAATAACCTTACTCTTTCTAGGAAAAAATTTGTTTTCACTTTTTTTTCAATTTTAAATTGTAAAACCTCTTCCATAATTTTCATCTATTTCTATAAAAATCTATCAAGTCGTCTTTCAAAATGTCACAAATCTATACTTTTTATGCTATTTACTAAATTATAAAGTATCAAAGCTGTCGTATTTGTAAATACGTGAATGTTTTATATTTTTTTTTAACGCGAAATGCCAATCAACCAATTAAAATAAGGTTGATTGGATAGAAAGATTAGATGTAATACATATATGTAAAATTATTATTATTATTATTTTTATGAAATTAATTTTTTTTTATATTAAAAAGGACGAATTTATTTGATTTTGATTTAATTTAATCATTAATAAAGAGATCATTGGTGAGTTATATTTTTGTCTGCTTTGTGATTTTTGTAGTTTCGGGAATTTGTTTGAGTTGTTTCTGTTTTCCTCTTAGTTTGTGTTTAGGATTTTTTTTAGTGTGTAAGTTTAGATTTCGCATAAAGTTTTAAGTTTTTTTAAAAGCTACCAACCGATTTATCAATTCTCCTATTTTAAGATTGCCCTATATCGCGTAGAATTAAAACAAATTATTCAGAGAATTTTTCCAGGGGATTTATTTTCCCCTATATTTAATTTTAAAAAAGGGGTGTTTATTTCCGGGGAATAAATGACTATGGGAATATTTTTACAAGGTTCCTAGGATTTTTTTTCCGCAGAATTATCTTCCAGGGGATATTTTTTCCTGGGAAATTATTTTTGGGGATTTTCTTTCTGGGGAACTACTTTTCCCTTACCCCACTATACCATTCTCCTACATGACCAAACTTGAATTTATTTGTTATAAGAAATGAATTTTATAAATTATAATTAATGTTTTATTAATGATTAGTAATCACCCCTTTAGTGTAACTATAGTCGAGCCAGTCTAATATGAGAACCTTTGAGACCAATTTTTGGCTTATCGAGACTTTATTTTATTTTTTTTTAATTTTAGTAACTGTTTAGCAAAAAGTGAGATTATGTTCAATTATTTTCAAATAATTCTTTTATTTTTATAATTATATCACGAGTAAAATTGCGTATTTGTTCCGGCAATGTGTTATTTTTTTCAACTTTAAATCATTATTTGTGAGCGTTATTAAAAATTTAAGATTTTATCGGAAAAGTATCCCAGCATATTTAGAGTACCTATACTATGAATTTTAAACATTATCGTTAACCTTTAAGTAACTTAAAATTTATATAAAAAATATTAGAAAATAAATTATCTAAGCTAAAGTTGCAAAATTGTCTGAAATTCATAGGGTAGGTCATGGGGAGATACATGCTATGAAACAAATTTTTAATGGAGGAGCAAAAATAAATCTACAAAACGTGATTTACAATATATGGCCAAAGTTTTATATAATATAACAATAATAATAAGTCATCATGCTAATTAAAACTTAACTGTTTCACTTCAAATTGACGTTAATTTTAAACGTTGGAACACGATTTTCAAGGAGGGAAAAGTTATGGGCCGATAAATATAAATTTAACACTAAATGATGATAATATTAACAAGCATATATTAATTAGGGCTGTGCCAATATTAAATATCGGATCGGGCCGATACCTGTAAAAAAACCGATCCGATCTTTTTACTTTTCAATTTTTTGTTATGTATATTTATTTCACATTATTATAATATTTTTTTTTAATTATATAAATAAAAAAATTAAATTAAATGCATAATTTGATTTTTTGCATAAAAATAATATTGATTTCTTAATTACATTTGGTTCAAAGGGGGTGGTGAAAAATCATTTTAAATATCGGATCGGGTTTATTGGATCGGGCCGATATCTGTAAAAACCGAACCGATCTTTTTACTATTTTATTTTGTTATTTTCATGCAAGTTTTGACAAAGTTGGATACTTTTTAGCATTAATTATCCAATAGTCGTGGATCCATAGGGGATAAAATATCAATGTCTATTAGAGTTATCTAAATAAACACAGTTATAAAATTATCATTTTTAAAATAGTGGGTTTCATATAACCCAACAAATGCGTCATTCAACCCAACCAAGCAATACTAGATAAAATATGTTAATATACCGTCAAGTTATTATGATTTAAATATTCCTTGATATGTGGCAGTATTTTATTCATTTAAATTGAAAATCAAAGAGAAACAAAATAATTGAACTCGATAGTAATGTAGATGAACTGCCACATATCAAGGATATTTAAATCATAATAACTAGATGGTATATAACATATTTCATCTAGTATTGCTTGGTTGAGTTGAAGATGACGCATTTGTTGGGTTGTATGTAACCCACTATTTTAAAAATTATAATTTTATAACTGTGTTTATTTAGATAACTCTAATAGCATTGATAATGATATTTTATCCCCCGTAGCCACTTGACTCTTGGATAATTAATGCTGAAAAGTATCCAACTTTGTCAAAACTTGCATGTAAATTTTTAGCGCCTCCTGCAAAAAGTGTCCCATCTGAGTCTATCCTCAGTACAGCAGAGAATATAGATAGTCCACATCGTAGAAGCTTATTGCCAGAAAATCTAGAGGCTCTCATATTTATAATTTTATATATTAAATATTACAATTTTATAATTCATACCAACACATATATTATTCAAAATAAACAAGTATACATTATTAAATATATATTTTTTTATCTATTATAATATAATTTGTTTTTAAATTATAGTCTTAATTGTAGAAATAAAAATATTAAAATTAAATTAAATGCATAATCCGATTTTTTGCATAGAAAATATGGATTTTTTAATTACATTTGGTTCAAAGAGGGGTGGTAAAAAATCAATATAAATATTGGATCGGTGAAAAACATATGGATCAGCACCCTAGATAAAACTAAGATAGGCACAAATATGATGATTTAGTAATATGATAACGATTCAATCTTGATAATTAAACGATCACAAGTAGTTGCCGATCAAAATAAGAAGTGGCTTTGGATTTTAAAGGGTGAAATGTTTCAGTAGTCAAATTTATTTAATTCTTACTTTACTTATTTTATATTATAATAACATTCAAATTTAACTTAATATTTTCCTTATACAAACTTATACTTTTTATATAGAAGTATCACAATGTAAATATTTTTGATTTAATAAATTCATTTGTATAATTCTAGCTTGTCATCTTGTTTTCCCATCATTTATAAAATTTTTAAATTATAATTAATTAATCAGTTTCAAATATCAATATTTTGTATTTTAAGTTTAAATTTTATAAAATTCTCCAATTTTTATTGTTAAAATAGATATAAAACAAATAATTTTAATATAAAATTAACAATGATGATACATATTTATACTTAAATATTAATATAATATCGATTATTACTTAGTTTTAATGAGAGATTGATAGCTTTTTCCAAATACATTAATTTCTAAAGAGGCATCGCTTTGAACATTTAACATGCCCATGATAGTTATATATACTGGAAACCCATTTGCTAACGAGAAAGCACCCTTCAAATCTTGTATCATGACATTCATCTTAGTAATTCAACATTTAATAACTTTTTAAATAAATTTATAAAGAAAGAATTTATGAAATTGTTGAGATAGTTAATTTGAATACTTAGTGTGTGGTGTGGAAATTTTTTAAATCTTATTAAGTTATTTGAATATTTAAATTATATTATACATAAATTCACGACGAATATTTTAAATATTAATGTAAAATATATAAATATCGAGAATTATTAATGTAAATTTTTATATTATTTTTTACTTTGCAAATTAACTGGTTTTTTTTATCATAAATAAATTTATGATTACTATGTTTTTGTATTAAATATTAAATAAAATTATCTATATAATAAAATTAGTTTAATATTCACTTCTTAACTCACAACAAATTATATAAAAAATATTATGAGCACTCACTCTCACAATAGGGTATCTCAAAATGTAGTGTCATGTAGAAAAGTCAATATTTATAAAAACAAGCCTCGATATCGATAGCTTTGAATATTCCCCTTTTCCACAAAGATAATTATATATTATGTAACGATTGATAATGGTAAATATATAAATTAAGGTTAAAAAAACGTTAAAAAGAGTGCTAGGTTTATTGTTCCCTCCGGAAAATGCTAACCCCATAATATCCGAATCAGAAGAAATAATATGCAAGTGTCGAGGCAAAAAAAATTGACCGTTCATGAGTTGTAAGGATACACGAGGTTGCAATTTACTCGGGTTTGAAGGAGCCGAAAAAAAAGATGTCGTTCTTTCGATGGCAGAACCTAAGCTTTGGCTATTTATTTCTAGCTAAAATAAGACGCGTAAATAAATGAATGACATCATAAATATGGCAAGTATATTTACCGAGAGTTCAATTCATAATAAATAATATAATTCAATTATTAAGATATAAAATCAGCTAAGAGTATAAATTTATTTAAAATATTTTATATGACTTTCCACTTATTAATAAAACTTGCATTCGTAATATTTTTTTGCATTTAAGCCCCCCCCCCATCCATAAATCAGGCCGGTTCCAGGCCTAAAGCTCTCTGGTAATACATCTAAAAAAGATAAAAACAATATAAAAAATTTGAATAAAAATAGATTATTGATTGAACTACTTATGCTATTTGCATAGCATTACAAATCTTTTATTTTAATTAGGTGATAGTAATTTTTTTAAAAAAACCTAAAAATAAAAACAGTTTTGTATAACTCAAAAAAAATCATACTCAAAAAAATATTTAGAAATTAAAAAAACAAAATAGCAAAGGAACAATAATTTATGAAAAATAAATATTAAATTTACATTGAATATATCTTGATTGGCTATGGTAAAACCTAGATCTAGTTTGGAAGGTATTCCATTTGCATCAAACAAAAAATCGGTTTTGTAATAAGAATAAGATACTTTTTTATAAAATATATAATATATTATGATAAAAATCGTCGTAACGTATCAAATAAAAATATATATAATTTAAATAATTAAAAATTGATGATACTTATATTATTTTGAAAATGGTCGGAATAAGCGCCGGAGGATAAGGCCATGAGAAAATAAGGGAATAAACTCCGTAGCATTCTTTTGCCCTCTTTTCTAAAATTTAAATATAAAATTTGATTACTAAAGCAGAATCAGGTCCTAATTTCAGGAAACTATCCCAAATTTTAGATAATTATCCCTTAATAAATGTTACTGTGTAAAATATCTTCCTGTTCTAAAAATAAAAAATTTATTATTGGATCAGAAATATATTTATAAATGAAGTCTATTTGCAAATGGTTTTAAAAGAAACATTTATTTAAGAATTTTTCAAAGTTGTTAATAAATGTCAACTGTACACCTAAAATCTTATTTACACCTCTAAGATCAATATCGATCCAATTAAACTAGTTAATAAATGACAAATGCCTGTCAGTTTATAATCTTAATTTCTGGTACAAGAGTCCAAAACAAAGGCACCACTTAAGTTTTGTTTATTATTATGGGGGTTTATAAATTTAAAAAAAGAGACTAAATTGGCTTTTTTTTGTTTAAAATAAACTTATAAGTGCTCAAAAAAGAAAAATTAGGGGAGTACTGTACCCCCTTGTCCCCTCCCTGGTATTCTTACGTCTGTCGAAAGCGATTAGAATATAAGTCTATTCCAGAATTGTTTAACTCAATTTCAATTTATTCAAGTTTTAAAATATTCCCCAGAAGATTACATTCTAATAATAAATCATTCTTTACGTCTCTTCACTGTAGGTCCTAGGAGTATAAGTGCCGAATTTAGGGGATTGGTCAAACGAATCTGTTTCTATATGTTTCTTAAAACGTTGATGTAGGTGCAAAAAGGTAACGAAATTCTTGTCTTCGAGAAACACTTTATATACCATATGTTGAATTGCGTGTTTTGTAAAAAGGTAGGAATTATCACAACGCAATAAAATGGTAAAAATTTCGCCCATAACCAATGCACTATTTTTATCACGGAAAAAGCCTCGGTTTAATATTGAAAGGGTCTTATGTGGTTAAAAAATTTAAAAGGAGCTAAAATATATAAACATTATATTTCAATTAAACATAATAAGTTTTTAAATGTTCAAAAAGAAATTTATTCACATTTCTAAAGAATAAAATGTTCTCTTCCTTCAATCAAAAAATAAACTAACCTCCAATTCGTCATTCCCGTCTCCCTCCGGCATAAAAAAACCGAATGTCTTTAACACTTTTTTAGGGCCCTTCATCTTAAAGAGCGAGCAAGGAAAAGTGGCCAATCCCTTCAACAAATAATAAGTTTCCATATCGTTGTTATTGCCCGCGAATAATCGCTCAAAAGCTCGAGTTAATAATATGGCGCTTTGGATGGTTTTAACATTGGACGTAGATGATATTAAATACGAGAACGTGTCAATATCAAGGGGCTTTAAATGTCCACCGGAACTAGTTCGCGATAAAAGGTCGGACCAAGAATATTCGAGGAAGCGATAAAAGGAATTAAGAAGATTCTCCTTCACTATCTTTTGTCAGAATACATGTTTACATTAAGCATAACTTAATTTTTAATTCATGTTTTAGTTAATTATACTAACATTCAATATTAATTGAACAATAAATCCTTGATCATCTGTTTAAAAAAATTTGAGAAGAATACTCTTTTGAAACATTATAAATTAAACGTAATTCAAATCAAATATTAAGTTTATTATATATGCAAAAGTAATGAAAAACGTTAGTTAAAAATACCTAAAAAATATTTAAGTTTATGCCTGGTATCATTTTGTCTGAATTTCCCTTAGATTATTAACATTGTGTGTATTTAGTAGTTATAAAATAAATAACAAAGATTATAAGATATATTTGATTTTAGTTTACTCTAAATATATTGATTTTATATGCTCACAGTCCCAATGCCCCTATTAAATAATAAATAAAATTTTAAATAATTAATGTAACACTAAAAAGCAATAAAATATATTTGATATTAATTTACTCTAACTATAATAATTTTATATACTCACTGTCCCAATGCCTTTATTAAATAATAAAGAATAAATAAAATATTACATAATAAATTGTTGAAATAATTTGATTTACTTGATTTTTGAGGCAATAAAAATTGAAATTGCATTTTTGCCATAGAACGATGCTTATAATAACCATTAGGTCCTCTTTCTTACGTTTAGTTTCAGGATCAAGACTTGCCTTTAACGTGTAAACAAGTGTCTTAAAAAATAACGTTTTAATAATATACAACAATCAGGGGGAATATTGCGAGAGTGGCTACGGGAAGGGAAGCTAGGTCTTCCTCCACCAAACTAATTTTTTAATTCATAGCCACATTTCCAAATTTTAAGGAAGGGCTGAGGCCCATCGTAAGAAATATAATTAATATTGATACTAGTATAAGTTCTAATTTATTATAAATATTTTTATACAAGTTTTTGTGCTCTATTTAAAGACATCTATAAATAAGGGCTACGCGGTTAGGAGCAGGGGTCTAATATATCATATTTTTTGATAATATATATAAAAAACTGTAGCCACCCACCTCCCCCCCCCCTCCAACCAGCCAAATTTTTAAGCAATACACCTAGAATTAATTAACCAAGTACGTTTTTTTATTATAGTGACGTTTTAAAAAAACTTTAATAGCTACTAATTTACTTATCTAAAAAAAACCTTTTTATACTAATTAAATCTTTGATAAACTAATGCTGGTCTGAAATATTGGATTTTAACCGACACTGGATCAAGCAATGTTCTAATAGTATGTAGTATAACTCAAAAATAAAACAGTTCTTAAAAAAATTTTTATTAATAATACGATTTTTAAAATGTAAATAAGGGGTCACAAAAAAATATCCTTGCAAATTGTGAAATATCATGAGATTAAGAAATGTATTGTAAACTAATCTATTTTAGCAATGAATATTTACAAAAATTCTATATAATTTGGTAAATAATTACTATCATATTCTCCAAAAATTCATCGTCCACATATTTAGAATGACTCAGGGCTATAATGCCACGCGCAAAATAGGATTTTGAATCGGGGCCAAACATATTTTTCTTACTTTGTTGGAGACCAGAATCGTTGAATAAATTTTGAAAAACGAAAGAATTGGTTAAATTAGTCTGGGCTGTTAATAACACTTCAACTAAAAGTGGCCTAGAGTATATAAAAGGTTAATTGATGGATATTTTTAAATAAAAAAACGTAGTGTAACATTAAAATTTTGATCCCAAAAATTAAAATTTATAATTATCTTATAAAAGCAGGAGAAATAAAAAATATGGATTCAGGATCCTGTTTTTGTAATTAAATACCTTATTCGCCAAACCTATCTGGCCACTTAATGATGTATCCTTTTGGTCAACATGAAGGATTATCATTTTTGGAGATTGATATTATATATTTTTTTAAAAAATCTTCAGGTGTCCTGGTTAGTTTAATTCTATGTCTGTATAGCTTCCTCTAAACGGCCAAAAAAGAAAGAGGCTATGTAACTAGTTATTTTGGCTAAAAAATAACTGTAACTAGTTATATTTTTAAAATTGTAACTGCCAAAAGTAACTAGTTACTTTTAAAGATATATTTAAATAATTAATTTTATTTTTAATATGTTGTGATAAATTAATTTTAAATTAAATTTATTTTTTAAATTAAATTTATTAATTTAAAATTTTGTGAAAATGTCTGATTGTTATAATTTCCCGTTCAAATTGATTTTCTTTTCTTAAATTGTTACATTGCTGCTGGGCTTCATAATTTTGTAAGCAAATTCAAGTAATTTAATAAATTTTAATATTATATTTATTTCAAATGTAGCACAATATATTTTTTCCCGTCAAGTAACAAGCATTGGAACTTCATATCATACGTAATAAAAAAATTTTAAATTTAGTATAAGGAAAAACAAAGACAGATTATTTTAGAATTTAATATTAAATTATTAATCATTACTTACAAGAACCAAGTCTAACAAAAATATCGTGTTATAGGTTTAATAATCTTTATGATAATGACAACATCATTGCTGCAATTCTTCACCCTTTATTTAAAACTGACTGGCCTTGGATTAGGCAAGAAAGGAATAAAACAAAAAAGGAGGAAATTTTAAATTTAATAAATACCTTAATACCTCAAAGTGAATCCCAGACGAATGAATCATGCTCAAAACCAACATCACTTGATGTAGTTGGATTTTTTGACCTAAAGCGCCAAAATATTCTGGATAATGAACTTATAGAAAACTTTATCAAATCTAATAACAACACTTTTTCTTTATATAACGATTTTCCAAAGTTAAAATTACTCTTTATTAAATATACAACACTTTTTCTATATATAACGATTTTCCAAAGTTAAAATTACTCTTTATTAAATATAATGTTGTTCTAACATCAAGTGCTCCCGTAGAGCGCTTGTTCAGTCTAGGTAAGCTCATTTTTGGAGATAAACGAGCACGTCTCCTAGATAATAACTTTGAAATTAATTTGTTGTTAAAAGCAAATAAACATTTATTAGATTCTAATTTTTATGAAAAATAAATGTTTTTTTTTCAATGCAAATATATATTTTTATATTCGATGTAAATATTCAATTTTGCGATATTTTTTTATATAAATAAATTAAATTGTATATTATTTTAAATAACTGATTATACTTTGTTTATCCTAATTTTTTTTATATTAAATAAATGCATTCAATAATTAAATAATGAACTAATTACTTTTGAAAATAACTGTAACTAATAACTAGTTACTTTTGTAAAAATGCAACTAGTAACTGTAACTAGTTATGTTTTTGCCAATGTAACTAGTAACTGTAATTAGTTATGTTTCAAAAGTAACTTTTAACATCACTAATATTTACCTAGGTAACAACGTATCTTTGTGACTCTTTCTAAATAAAAATATTTATTTAATGTACACACTGAAATCTAACCAAAATATAATGTCTTAGTTCAAAATCTGTTTAGCCCATTCAAAAGTAAAATGAACCAGGACACGACCTTAATACTTTACATAGCAAAAATTTTGTTGATCTCAATAAATAATTTTATAAAAATAATTACATTATAAGTGGATAGCTTTTTCTAGCATATTTAAATAATGTTTCCAAAAAATCCAAATTATCATTTTTTCTAATAGCGACAACGGCAGTCATAAAATTGGTAAAATGAGATGAAATGATATTAGGAGTCGTCTGCTGTTGCGTAAAAATATTGTAAGATGTTTGCAAATCTTGCAACAACTTATGTATAAAGTTCTCGTAGACGGAGGTATTATTCTTCGAAATTTTCTGAATATAATATTATTTTTTTAAATGTGAAATCAATTGGAATTCATATTTTATAAAAACTCTTAATGCTTATGCAATACGTCCTTTTATTTTTTAATATAGTATGTGGTAATGTTTAAGATATAATACAATCAATGATTGTTTGGGACATAGCCTAAGGCTAAATATAATTCTTAAATCACAAAAACGTAATATCTAGAAATAGACGAAACTCACTTATTTAAAATATAAAAAAGAGGTTTCTATCTAATATTGATATTTTTAGGTAATAATTGGAGTTGTTAAAAGATACTTTTCAAATGTATTTTAATATCGATATAGTTATATAACTAAAAAGTATCTAGATATCGACACACTCTTTAAATACAACCTTTTAAGATAATGACAATAAAAATTTTTTATTTTTAAAACAAAAATGGCAAAACAGCGATAAAGTAAAAAAATGTATATCAATAACGATATACCTTTGTAAAAATATATTTATTCCGAAACAGCATTTATGTATAAACGTATCTAGACAATTTTTACCAACTGATAATTTTAGTTATTAGAATTTAATATTATATTCTTCGGGTTGGCAAAGTTTTGCTTAAATGTATTTTTACTTAATCAACAAAATAGTGTTTTAATTTCGTTTTTTTAAAAAATATTATTGCCATTTCACATTAGCCCTGGTCTAATTTTGGACAATCACGACGTTGCCCTAATAACTTTTTTTTTAAATAAAATGACCTGCTAAAATGTGAAATATTAAAATTAATTTTAGGCATGCTGAACTAAGAATGCTTTCACACTACTCCCTAACAGATTTTTAATTGTATTTAATAGATTCTTTAAAAAATATATGGACTTTATTCTGTGTGGTTTTATTTCTTCAAATAATGTATTAAAACTGTTAAAAATTGATAAATAGAATGGTAAGAAGTTAAGCTTAATATTATTCCCGATATACTGCATACAATAAATGTTTCAATTTAAAAAACTATATAATGGAAATGCTTTGTATAAGAAGCTTACCAAAAAATTGTTATCAACAGGTAGCTCCTGCTCAAATTTCAAGGCTTCGCCTTGAAATTCAACCATATATTCTAAAAAATAACATGAAATATTATTTAAAATATGAAAATTTATCAATATTTTATATATCTTTCAATATCAACTTTTCACAATATTGATTAAATATTAAATAACATAATAACCATAGAAGGCTGCCTCCTAAAACATCATAAATTTAATTCTAAAACCTTCTAAAGTTTATCGGAAAATAAGAGATAAGCCTTTTTAATAAAAAAATTAAAAAATGTGGCCAAAACATATTTTTAAAATTTTATTATTTGACTTTTTTTTAAAAAATTTTAAAACTTTTGAGACAAGTTTTGTACGCAGCCTAAAATAAAATTATATAATTTTCTATAATCAACATACTAGGGTTTATCTTTAACAAGGCTTCATTTAAACTGTCAGCATAGATGACATTTTCTTTTAATCTTTGACTTCTAACAAATTTTAAGCTTTGCCTAAAATAGTTTTAATATAAAATTCATTTAAACTCTTAAACTTAACTGATGTCGAATATTTAAATTTATAAAGAGATTAAAGCCCTGTATAGAAAGAAAGTAAAAATGAGAGAGGTAAATAAAATACTAAAAATTATTAATTAAAAAAAGGTTTTTAAGGAACTCGCTTTAAGTTACTTTCTACCGAGCCTAAAGTTTTTTAGGACTCTTAATTAGAATCCGAAACTATATATTGGGCTAGTAAACAGATTATTTACCTGATATATTATTTTTGGTCTACTTTCTTTCACATTCAAAACATTTTACTTAGCTAAAAAACGTGATATAAAATTATTATGAAATTAGAGAATTTTGACCATTTATATTTAATTGATATAGACATTTAAAAAATGCTTATGTATTCTAGAGTTATTATCGCCCTTTTAATTTACTATATAATTTAATATAAACGTTTTGATATGCCATAATCTTTAAATTTTTATGTAATTAGCTGTCGATCTGAATCTAATCGCGAAACCTAAATAAACCGTTATAATTTTTGGAACCATATTCGAATCATAATAAAAAAATTTTAAAGCAAAGAAAAACCAGTTTTTAAAAATTATATATCTGTTTATTACATTCATTACTTCTTACCACCAGTCACTATTTTTAAAATAATTATTAATCCGAAAATCAATAAAACATTTTACTGATTCCAAAGCTCTAAAATAAACGAATTTCATTTAAATCAAGTATCCTATTTTTTTAAAAAAAATTAGACCTTATGTCATATCCTATTTTTTAAAAATTTTGGTCCAAGTCCACCCAACCTTTATTTTCAAATTATTTATATGCCCAATAATTGCTAGATGTAATAATATATAAACCTTGTTGAGCAATTAAAAACTTTGATATTTGATAAGTGGGAAGAGATGAGAGTAGTAGATAAACTTGTGACCTTTCGAAAATATGATTTATCAAAATTTAGAACGTATAAGGATCTAGATATTGTTTTCATGTTGTAACTTTTAATCTAAAATACGATAAATATAATTAAAAACATTTTAAAGCCTTTTTTAAAAAAAATTAAGATTACTTAATCTTATCTCACATTTTTTTTATATAAGAACAAACTTAAATAACATTCATTTTTTGATATAAAATTAACAAAAATATAAGTGAATAAAGTGTTTAGACTAAATTAAGCATTCTTATACATTCATTCTCATTCAATTTTAAAAAATAAAAATGGCTTGGTCAAGGATCGCCCGGAGAATGATAACAAGTTTAAGATTACACCATGTAAAACTTTAAAAAATTTAAAATCACAAAAAAGGCTAAAAATTAATAGAAAATAAATGAGCCCCTTAAATTTAGATTTATCGTCATATGGCTACATATGTCCATATTAAAAAGTGTTACCCGATCCTGCTAAATGGAAAAGAGGATATACTTTTTAAATATTAATAAAGCATGAAAATGAATTGAAATTTTTTCGATTTTGAAGTAGTCATTTTTTTAATGTATTTATATTATATAAATCGCGATAAACCAGGGGCGTCACTAGCCCTTACAATCTCAGGAGGTTAAAAAAAATTAATAAATTATTTTCAAAATTGCCTTTTTTTTATAGCTAACATTAGCTAAAATTATTTTTAAGCTAATATTATCCAAAATTACTTTTTTTAGCTAACATTATCTAAAATTACCTCCTTTTTTTTAGCTATCATTATCTAAAATGATTTTTTAAAGCTAATATCCAAAATTATCTTTTTAGCGAATATTAACTAAATTTACCTATTTATTTAGCTAACAAAATTACCTTTTTTTTAGTGATATAAAAAAATTTCAAATTTTTCAGGGAACTCGAGCTCCTGCCACACCCCCCCCCCCTAGTGACGCTACTGCGATAAACATTTATAATCAAATTATATTATTATTTAATTAGGAAATTAAGTCACTCGACCCAACATATTTGGAGGATTTATATTATAAAAATCGAGCTCGAGTGAAGATCAATTTGATTGCCCTGAATGAATATGGCTACGTTTGTCTCAATTCTGTTAATTAAGAACACTATTTATAATGGTTATTGTTATTTTTAAAAAATATCTGAATCTTGTTAAAGTGAGAGTTTTCTTTCTTTCTTTCTATCTATCTAGCTAACTTTCTAATAATATTTAATTGATTGAACGCATTTTTATTCTGCAATATTCTATAGATTGTATTTAAGAGCATTTTAAATTTCCCTCTATTGGAAATATTCCAATTCTTATAGATGTTCTGATCCAAGATATCAAATAATTAATGTAATGTGCATATACTATCCACCTCATTGATATCCTGCCTAAAGGTCAGCAATGGATGAGTTTTTTAAACCACCCATCTATTCTACAGGTTGGGTAAAAGATTTAAAACAATGGGCGGGTGAATTCAAATATTTTTTGGGAATGGGCAAGAAAAGTCTTAGCATACTTCTGACTGCAGTAACTTAAGGCACATGGCATCTGCATCGAATTGTTCCTGGCCTGAAATATAAAAAAAAAATTTGTCAGGCCTGGCTTGATTCTGAACGAATTGCTTATTTGTCCTGAAAAGCCCACCCAAAAAATATTTGTCCATAGAAAAATTTAATACAATTTTAATTGTAAAAAAAATATTCTACAAATAAATAATACGCCTTTCTTGTAAGAATTATAAAATATATTTTCAATTTTACAAAATTGAATATCATAGTTAAAAATTTAAGCCTACTTGGCAAATATTCAAAATTTATTCATATAATTTGATTTTTTCATATTAATCAAAATTTATAGTATATATTCAACATTATTCATAAATATTAGAAATTATTTGTATTTAAAATTATTTGTAGGTTACATATTCCTTACAGAAATTTTATTTTTTTAAACTTTATTTCTACATCTATAAATCATTTTTTGAATTCTAATTTTTCCAGAGTTTGAAAAAAAAATCTTTTGGATATTTTAAAGAAAAAAGATTTTTGATAAATTTTACCTAAAATTCCAGATATTTAAATCTTTTACAATTAAACCTTTTGTAATATCCATGGACAATAAATCTTTCAAGGTAAATTACAAATTTTAAAAAAAATATTCAAAGATTCATTTAAAATTTTTTTAGATTTTTTCATTTTTGAAAATATTTTTAAAGAATTGAATTTTCAAATCAAATGTTTTCATTATTCATATAAATTCAAATAAGTAATTATTCGTAAGTAAACAGGCATGATTTGCAGATGTCGATATTAAATAACTGTGGTTATAATAGTCAGTCTATTTGTAATAAATTGTATTAAATATTATTATTATATATTTTATAAAAAAAGAATGGAAATTTCGAATTAAAAAAATTAATAATATGATGTGATTATTTTGAAATTAAATAAATGATATATATATTAAAAAAGCTAATAAGTAGTTGTAGTTGTTTTTATTATATATTTTAAATAGAAATGGGTAAGATTTTTCAATCAGTAAACCGTAGCAAATTATTCAATTTGTTTAAATAAATCAAATATGAATCATTTATTATCTGTGTATTTGAATGGCTTGCTAGAGATACAGTTTACTGAAAAAAAGAACAAAAAACTAGTAGCCAAAGGCATTTAAAAATGAATTTCTATTAGTTAGTTAATTAAATTAGCTATGATTATTAGTAATAATTGTTTTTATAACTACATCTAATTACTAGTTATTTCTATAAGCTACAGCATAGCTAAAAGTGTTTAGACTTAGCCATTGCTTATCTATCAAATTTACAAGAAAGTATATTTTAGTCTAACATGTGAAATATTGCTTACAGAACTCCTATCTGTAGTATATTTAGAAAAGGCTGGGTGGTGGCATATTTTGGTTTTATAGAGAGTATGTTTGACCTCATTTTCATTATACAAAACTTGACAATCATGATGGGTGTCCCGCTATAATTAATAAATAGTATATTATCATATTAAATTAGTTAAATTTAATATAATTATTTTTACTTCTGTCATATTATGTCCTGTCAACTGAAAAAGGCTAGCTATAGATTTTTTAATTTGGACAGATAAACTTGAATCTAAATTTGACACTATTACAGGAGATATTTGATTATCATATGTATGAAAATACAATGGCTCTTGAAATGAATCAAGAGAAAATACATTTAGCATAAATTTATCTTCAATATTTTTGGGGAATTCAACATTTGAAATCTAGCAGCACATTAAAATAGATAGAAATAAAAATCAAATGAACTAACTTTTAATTCATATAATTTACTCAATGATGTTTGATAATGTGACTTATCAATATTTTCCCAATGTAGGGCAATTTTAACTGTTGCTTTTAGTTTTGAACTAAATTTATTATTTTTATATGACTGTTTGCCACATTTTGTAATAGATGTTTCATATATATAATTTAGTTCATCACCTAATTTGATTTCCATATAGATAGCTAAAACAAATAAAACAAAAAAGATGCATATAAAATATAAATTATTTATCGTACTTTCAAATATCTGCAAAATTGAAAAGATATATAAAATTGCAAACCACATGTTAATTGTGTGAGATCTAAAATAAATTTTGATCATAAGACATAAGACCTACAAATAAATATTACCAATGATATAATATTACCAATCAAATGAACTCTCACCAATGATATATATATATCAGGGTTTCGAACCGTTTAGTATAATGGTTCGGTTCGTTCCGGTTTTTAGTTTAAAATTTTATAAAGGTTTTGTTCCATTTCGGTTTTTTAAAAAAAAATCATATCGGTTCGGTTCGGTTTATAATTTATAACGGTTCTTTTCGGTTTGTTCCGGTTTTTATAAATTTAATTTAAAAAAAAATTAATCATTAACCATGTATATATTAATTTTAGAGAAAAATCTTTTTAGTTTATAATTTCTTATTTAATTTATCCATGATAATCTAATAGATATTTTTATTAAATTTAGGAAATATAAATTAGATAAATTAGTTTTTTTTATTTCATAAATAAATAAGATAAAAACAAACATGCGTAAATACAATAATCAATAAAATAATATGTATACTATATTATTTAGGTTTAAAAAGGGAATTCGAACGGATAACTAAAATATTTTCTAATATTTCAGGATATAATTTAGTTCTCTGCGCAGAGAGTATAAACTTAAGGCTTGAAAATGCTCTTTCTACGGAGACCTGCGTAGCTGGAACTGCTAGCACAGTTATAGCTAACTTATAAAGTACTGGCATACTATTCTTTACATTTTCCCAATAATTCAAAAGATTAGTATCTTTTTCTAATCTCTCTTTATTATCAAATGACCGAATTATATATTCTATTTCTATACATTTATTATAATTTTCGATGCTCTGAGAATTATTCTTATTAAGACTTTCATGTGACTTTAATAAATCTTCAAAATCATCATCTAAATTATCCTTCGAATACGAACACGTAGGCATAGTATTTAGAATTTCAATATTCTGATTATTTAGATTTTGTGTCAAGTTCCAATTTTTACGAAGATGTTTTCTGGCGATCTCTCTTTCTTCAAAAGTTAAAAATACATTATATCTAGGGTCGAGATAAATAGCAGAGCAAAAAACTTCATTTTTAAAATTTATTTCTCATGCTTTCATCGTAGAAACTAAAAGTCTGGCAAATGGAGTGTCTACTTTACTCGTTTGCATGAGACATTTGATCCACGCAGCATAAAAATCGCCCATTGTCAATTGTTCACTTTGTAAATATTTTGTCAAAACATAAGCTGGATATAAAGCTTTTAATATGTCACTAATTATTTCCCATTCATTCTCTGATAAACATTTTTGATCGCTTTGGAGCGATATTTCTTGGCAAAAGCTTTTTAACTCTAGTAATCTCTCCAACATTAAATAGATAGAGTTCCATCTTGTGCAACAATCTATTAGTGGTTTTTTCAAATTTAATTTTGAGAGAATAGCCATTGTTGTCTGATTTCTTATTTTTTTGCAGATGTTTCTTGCTTTATTTATAATGACAATTTCATTTGAATTTTTAATGCAATCATTAATTGCTAATTGAAATGTATGTGAAGCACATCTAACACCTATTAATATGGGTCTGGCATTTGATGCAAGATTAATATTTTCAATATTAAAAGGTTCATTATTTTCATTATGAATTATATCATTATTATTTAAATCATCATTATCTATATCATTATTATTTAAATCATCATTAATTAAATAATCGTTAAGGTCATCATCTTCATCATCTTCTTCATCGTGTAGTATTAATAGCTTAATTAACTTAATCATATTTGCTGCATTATCGGTGGTTATTGTGTAAATCTGCTCAATTTTTATTTCATATTCTTTTAAAACATCTAGAATAGTTTTTTTAAGATATTCTGATGTGTGTCGTTCTTTAATCACTTTCATGCATAGAGTCCTTAATTTTATTTTTCCGTTATTTATAAATTAAATATTGATCCCCAATATGGACCTATCATATCTAGTTGCTATATCTAATTTTAACGAAATAAGTTTTTGATACACTTTCTTTTTTATATTTTCCGAAAAATCTAACGCCATTTTTTTAATATTATTGCGTATATTTTCCGAATTGATAGTTAAATTTCCACCCAATCCTATAATTATTGGATCTATAATATTTCTAAATGCTTTGTCGTCAATTTGGCCTACCGTGAACTGTGCAGGAGCGGATTAAATTTTCTTTATTTATATTGATTTGTATTGTAGTAGTGTTGGACTTAAAAGCATCTTGGATTGTATTATACTGGTTTGCAGTTTTCGTTATTTGAATTTTTTTAATAGTCGAATTTTCTTTCTTTTTTCTTAATAATTTGAATTCCCTATTGTGGAATCTTTCTATATGTCGTTCAAGATTTGCAGCATGGTCTCCAGTTAAGATCTTACCACAATCTTCTATTTTACAAATAGATTGATTTTTTATGATATCTAATTTAAAAAGGAACGCAAAGGATTTGACTTTTCCCGAACCATTTAATAGATAACTAAAAAGTATATGATGATAGATGAAAATCTTTTATTATATAAATAGAATAAATAAAAAAGCTTAATAGAAACAATTTTACCTTCATTTTTATTTTTTTAAATAACTTGGATTATAGAATTTAAATGACAATAAATAAAATGGTCAGCAATAAATATTTTAATGATATAATAATTTTTTATCTAGAAAAATCATATTTTTTTTTAAATTCAGAATTCTAATATTTATTATTAAAATAATATGTTAATTAGCATTTACCATTATCATATATGCAAAATAAAAAAAAATATGATTAAAGAATGGCATTTGTAATGAATATTTTTCTAAATCTGTATTTTTAAATAATAAAAATCTTACTATAAATCTTCAGTTTAAATAAGTTAACTAACATTGCATTAAATTATTTTATACTTTTATTTATTTGTGTTTTATATTAAATAGACTTACATTTAAAAATAGGAATTACATTTTGATGTTAAACTAAATATAACTAGTATAGTTTAATTCAAATTACCCACTCTGATATATTCTATATAAACTAAGATAAACTTTTTTTGAATATATCAATTAATAAGAAATTATTGTAAAACAATATTATATAAAAATTGGTCAGTACTTTATTTCTGTTAGATGTTAATATAATATTACAGAATAGGTAATTTAAGTTAAACTATAGTATTTATATTTAGTTTAACATCAAAATGTAATTCCCATTTTTAATTCACTGTAAGTTTATTAAAATATAAAACACATTAATAAATAAATAAAAGTATAAAAATAATTTAATGCAAGAAAAATATTCATTACAAATGCCATTCTTTAATCATATTTTTTTATTTTGCATATATGATAATGGTAAATGCTAACTAACATATTATAATAATAAATAATTTATAATATTAGAATTCTGAATTTAAAAAAACAATGATTATAAATAAAAAATTATTTTATCATTAAAATATTGCTGACTATTTTATTTATTGTCATTTAAATTCTATGATCCAAGTTTTTATAATGAGATAAAAAATTTAATTTAGCCAAGAATAATTATGTCTGATTTTAAGATATCTTATCTAATTAACAGATAAATTGTCTAATCTCTTATAAATTAAGTATTTAAAGAAAAAACAACAAACCTGGTATTATTTGATTATAATGTTGATAATATAAAAATATTTAATTTGATATATAATGTTGATAATATGGAAATATTTAATTGGAAAAGAAATCACCAATTTAAAAAATGCCCCCAAGGAAAATTAAAATTTTAAATTTAGGTTAATAATTTAAAATTAATTATTTTAAAACCGTTTTGAACCGGTTTAAACCGGTTCAAAATATTTATAACGGTTCGGTTTGCTCTTTTAATATTTTCTTCATAACGGTTCGGTTAAGGTTACGGTTCAGAAAATCATAACGGTTCATTCCGGTTTTGCGGTTCGGTTCGAACCCCTGATATATATATCATTGACTCTCACTCAGTTTCTCACTGGTAACATTTTAAAATATAGGTGTATTGTAAATTTTATTGATTTTTAATGTGTATACACAAATATTAGGTAATACTACAAATTATTTACGTGTGAAATTATTACTTTGGAGTTTATTGGTCAGCTGTTAAGATTTCCCTTTATAGATTCCAATCTGTATTTGAACCCAGAAAGGACCATGTTTTCCCCTAGTGTTTCATGGTAGGCAATTTCAAGGTATTTGGTTTTATATACCTTTTACAAAAATTTGTCTATATAGTTGCCACATATGGAATTAGATGTTGAAAAAATTATTCCATGCCCCATATCAGTTAGTAATCTAAAACTTGGTAAAATGATTAAAGATTCTATTTGCTCGTGCCAATGAAATCTTATGTTGGCTAGTGCAGCATATACATGGCAGAAAATTTGATGGAGGCAAACCCCCTTCAAAATCTATCCATACCCACCTATTCGAGCCTATTTAGGGGAAAAAATTTTAAAAATTTGTAGGTGATAATCAACTTATATTTAAATAATGCAATCTTCTCATAATTTGGTTGATATTCACTTTATTTTAATAAAATATATAAGTGAATTAAATGAGATAACATATTAATATTTCTATAAAAAAGATCTAAAATATTGTAAAAAATATAAGACGAGTAATTTTAAAGAGGTATATTTAGCTTGATTACACATACCTATATTACCTTTTAATTAATTAAAAACATGTATTGTAAATAGTTATTATTTAAAATATTATAATAAAATGAATTATAGTATATTTTGCAGTGAAAATATAAAATGTTAAATTAAATTTACATTCTTTAAAAGATTATATATTCGCTGTGAAAAAGATACATTACTTATTAATAATTTGGATAACCTTATAGATGTTGATGCAAATTGTGTTATAATATCATCAATTGTAAATTTTTCAAAAACATCAATTTCGCTGGATATTAACAGTAAATATTCTAAAAATGAGTCCGAAATTTTATTCCGCATTCGAGTTTTGTTTATTTTTACTTTACTCATGGCTCTTTCGGCTGAACAGGAAGTTTTAGGAAGGGTTAATAAATACTTATATAATAAATTTAAATTAGAATAAGAGTTTAATTGATTTAAAAGTCCGTATGGTAATATAAAAGAATATTTTATCCATTTTTTATTTTGGTCATAATTTCGCTGTTGATATTTTCTTCGGTAGTTTGATCGTTTGCAATACCTTTAATTATATACAATTACAAAAAAATATCAATAAATTACTTTCATATATAACGCGTCATTCTTTTTAACTTTCAAAAGATCTTCGCAAAAAATGATTGATTGAGACTCCAAATATAAAGAGCGAAAATCATTATATTCATCATCAATGTTTTGGACATCCAATTGATAAGTATGACAAATTTTGGATATTTGCCATCCTTCTATTTTTTCATTATCCATAAATCTAGCGGGAGTAAAAATGGATATTTGTGATAAAAAATTTAAACATTCATAATTAAATCGATCATTTAGGTGGTTAATTATTGCATTTAGCACAGGAAAAAATATTTCCGTTGTATATCTATGACAATAAAAATAATTTAAATTTTTTTAATTTATACTTGTTTTTTTTTTGTTCAACATAATTATTGAATTCTGTTTGATCCAATTTGAATATTGATTTTATATTATACAAATCAGTTATTACATTATTCTTCTTCAAAAAACTAGCAGATAAGGAATGTAATTTTAAAAAAATATTGTCTCCATTAGCTATATTTTAAAATTATTTATAGAAATAGTAACTAATATTAACTTTTTAGTCTTTGTAATTTATTTTTTGTATGTTGTATTAATTTGGTTACCATAGCCAAATCATTACCATCTGCCTGCATTTCAATACAAGCCTCATGTGTACATTTCTATATTTCTTTTAAAAAAATAGACTTAATATAAAATTTTCATCCTTAATTCTGGATAATAATCCATCGGCAATGGAATAGGTGCTTGGGTCATTAGAATCTTTTAATTCAACTAATGATGCTAAAATATGCTTATAAACATCTAAAAAGATTTCTACAGATTTGTAGGATGATGACCAATTTCTGAAAATATATAAGTTTCATTAAAAATATTTTATTTAGTTTGTTGTGTTTTTAATTCTTTTAAGAGATTTAATGGACTTTCTCATTTGATATTTAACAAACACACCTTGACGTCTAACTCCATTCATATAATTATATAACTCATCTAATATTCCCATTGCCTTTATCATTTCAATTTTGCATCCACAAACATGAGCAACTACTAAATTTAACCGATGTGCATAGCACCAAATATAGATGTCTTTTGGAGCCTCTTTCAATATTAAAACCTGCATTCCTTTGTATACTCCTTTCATATTTCCTGCACCATCCATACTTTGTCCAACCAAATAATCAAGAGGAAGACCAAGATCATTAAACTTAGAAAATACATGTTTCTTTATATTTTACCCAGTGGTTTCTGATGTTGTAAAAACATGTATGATCCTTTCTACAGGATGTGGATGCAGATAATCTTCTATATACCGTACAAGCAAAGCTATGCAATCTTTTTTAGACACATCATATGTTCCATCTAATATGATGCTATAGGCACGATTCTCTTTAATTTTTTGAATAATGCTTTTTATTATTTTTATCTTAATAATTTCAGTTATTTTTTTCACGTGGCCATATGACAGCAAATTTGTATAAGGTCTCTAAATTTTATCTGATTTTTTTCTCCGCAATTTTTCGTTGTCATGTATGCACGTAAAGTTAGAACCGTTTTTGCCATTAATTTTATGAGGTACATAAAATTACCTTCATTCGAATTAGAACCCCAAAAGGCTATATTACATTTTATAAGGTACATAATGGCATCGATAATATTATGAACTATATTACGATTTTCCATGATTATATCAAGCTTATTTGATAGCAAATGATCTTGAATGCGCTTATTTGCAAACCAAGTCATGTTTTCATATTCACAATCTTTACGAAGAGAAGATGCTTCGTGTCTCTCTAAGTCACGTTTAATGTTTTTCCAATTATTTATTCCAAATTGAGTCCAAAAAGTATTGGACTTAGGGCCATCAAACCAAACATAATAAAAGTAGTGCTATAAGATAGCCAATTTCTGGGGTTGAGGGAACCATCTATATTAACCTTTCTATAATAGGTTATATTCATGCTCCTGTTTAAAAAGTAAAAAAAATAAATACTGGTATAGAAATAATGGATGGGTAAAAATTAATGAGAATTATATATTATTTAAAACCTCTTGTGAGTAACAGGATATTGAAATTTATTTGTATATGGCTGACATGGGCCTATAATTATGAAATTAATCAAAATATTTGTCATCCTAAATAATATGAGTGAAATGGGTCATTTGGTTCCTTCTTTTTGTATAGCTGAATAAGACTTGAACTTTGAATATCCTCATAATTTATTCCCTTCAAAAGTTATTATATAAATTTTATTTGAATTAAATACCTCATGCAAAGTAAGCGCCTCACTGGAACTGGGGATTGGATGAGGAGAAGGAGAAAATACAATTTGTGAATCTTCAATAATGGAGATTTGCTATAAATAAAGAGTATAATTTGTTTACTTATGAAAAACTATATTTTTAATAAAATTTTAGCCAAATGGTCATTTTATTCTTAGCTACATTATAATTAAGTTTTTAATAAATTTAAAATATTTAAATATCCTAAAAATCATAATTTATTTTCTTCAAAAGTTATCATATAATTCGTATTTAAATTAAATACCTTATCTTGAAAAGTAAGCGCCTCACTGGAACTTGAGATTGGATGAGGAGATAATACAATTTGTGAATCTTCAATAACGGAGATTTTCTATAAATAAAGAGGAGTTATAATTTGCTTCCTTATGAAAAACTATATTTTTAATAAAATTTTAGCCAAATGGTAATTTTTTTCTTAACTACAATATAATTAAGTTTTTAATAAATGTTTTAATTCTACAAGAATACATGATTGAGAAAATAGGCATTAAAAATATTATGAAGTTCAACATAAAGTTATCAGGTTACAATGGCAAGACGATACAAGTGATAGGTACAGCACAAGTGAATGTAGAATACAATGGGAATTCACAAATTTTGAACGCGTTAATCATAAACATTAATAAAATGTCTTTGTTAGGAAGATCATGTTATAATATTTTGAAAATATACTTGAAAGATTCATAGGCATAATACATGCCGATTAATATAAAACTGCGATCACATGAAAAAATAAAAGATATTATAATGACTGTAAAAACAATAGTAATCTTATAAATAAAAATTAGTATAAATAAAATTGTGAAATTCATGATGAAAGTATATTATCTAAAGAAATTCTAATAGCTAAATAAAACAATGATAATAATATAAACATACCTAATATAACACATAATGTAAATAAAGGGGATGAAATTCACATAGACAACATTTTGAAAATAGTTGAATCCATTTCATATTTTAAGGATAAAATTTATATAAAAAAAAGTAAAAGAACTTTGAAATAATTCAATTAAAGATGAAAAGATTTAAATTTAAAAATTCCTAGAAATTAACATTACCATACTTTTATTATTTTACTACATTATATTTACTTAATAAGTTTTTTTTAATACTTTGGTTTTAAATTATTATTATTAATTAACCTATTAAACATATTGTTAAATTGAACTTTATAAAGTATATATAGATATAAAAATAGTGTGATAAACAGTTAAAAAAAATATTTAATAATAAAATATATCATTTATTTTCTCTATACTCTGCCTACTTTAATTTTATTTTAAATATATTGGTAAAATTTTAAATAAAAAATCAGTTACTACAGTTTCTATTAATTCACAAATTTAAGTTATATTTTCAATAATATTTATTGTCTTTAGTTACAATAAAAAATTAAAAATATTACTTTTCGGAAGTAAGATGTTATTGTCTTTTTTTGCAACTGGGTTTCAACTCCATTTGTTATATTATATGGAATATCACAATTTAAGGATACCCAATTATTATTATCTCTTTTGATGGCTACCTTTGTAAATTTCATATCAGCTGGCTTTACATGAGGATGTTTATAATGTTCATATATCTTGTCACTTCTTATTTTAAAAGTTTTACAATTAATATAATCACATTTTACTTTAAATAAGGTTCTGTTATTTGGCATCTAGAATGAAATAATTAATTATTTTTTACATATTATGTTTTTTATTATTATTTGCTTGTTGGTATATGTTTTTAAGCATGACTAAAAAATTACCTCCAAAATTTATCCTGCTAAAAAATCTATAAATTTATTAAAAACATAATATAAATATATTAACCTCTAAGAAAACTACCAAATAGGAAATGTGTAAATATTATTATATGTGGTGTTTGGATTTTACCAAAACCTATTATATATCTCTATCAATACATTTTATCCGAAATTAGAAACTAAAAATAAAATTTCCTTTTATTTAATAATTTCATGAGGAAAAAAGGCGGGAGAAAAATATACTTATTAAAACGTTCCCCGAGAATATTTTTCCAAGCTCATCTTTGAAACGAACCAAGAAGCAAACATTAAAAAGGATGGAAGGGTTTTATTAAATTTATCTATTAGATATATATATTGGGTACTTTAGTTTTTAAGAGATTCTGAATCTGATATATTGTTAAATAAAAAATATAATTTCCTTTTATTTTTTCAAATATTCGATTTAATAGACTGTTAAGTACATATAGACAATTTTTATTTTGGAAAATGCTCCCGATATTAATATTTTATAAATTGAAAAATCGTTTACAACTTATTTTAAACAACGTGTAAACCTCAAAATGGCGTTACAGCTGATTCTTATTTATGTCACTTTTATTTAATGAATCGCCAAATGATATACATCATTGATCATTAATTACAGAGATCCAAACCAAGTATTAGTTACTTAGAGAACCTGAACCAAATCTCTAAAAAGGTTTATCGACCGTTTTGAATTTTTAATATTATTAATAATAAATTTTGATTGATAAATAGTACTGTAAACGTTACTACAAAAAAGAAACACATTACCGTACTCGTCGTCTGAAAAAAGGAACGCGTTACTTTACTCGGTACCTTTTTAAAAAAGGAACGCGCGCTACTGACTATTCAAAAATAACGGGTTATTCGTTAATTAAAAAATTAAATATTATATAATAAATAAAACAATATATAATAAGATAAGATAATTTTATAAAAAATTTCATATATATATAATCTAATTATAATATTAATAAAATGATGCAAAAATAATTTATTATATATAAGATAAATTCATTTTGTAACAATATTTTTTTAGCAACAATTGATTTTCAAAATTTTGATCAGACTAACAAGAGCGCTTAGTGCTCAACACAGTTTTCGCTCTAACATACGTTCAATTGGCGCAGAGGTTAGGAAAAGTATTATATTTAATAAATATTTTAATCCTGGAAATTTATTAAGAATATTTAAAGAATTATCTTTATTTTGAAAAAAGCTTAATAGATCATCTTCTTCATTTATTTCCTCAGCAATAAATATTTTTTTATCTTTATCAGAAAATATTCTGGTATGTGTGTTGGGAATTAAGTCTGCTCTTTCTTTATCAAGATATTTCATCAAACTGGAAATGAGTTATAGCATTCTTCCTTTGTTGACCTCTAATTTCATCCAACCAATTTAAGTAGCGGGTGAATATTGTGGATACTGTATATTCATCTTTAAAGATATGTTTGAATGTGCTATTCAAAATAAAAGATAATCAAAATATAAATTGTAAGCAATATTTGAACTGTATATCTTTCATTTATGCCTTTCAGGATTAAATTAAAAAGCGGTTTACAAAACTTAAAATTATTTAAAGCCATTTTTTTAAGTTTTAATATTATAAGAGTTTATAAAATCATATATATACATATTATATTTCTTAATTAACTAACCATACAATATTCATCCATGAACGACTTGTCGTTATATGAAAATCTCTATAATTCAGATTTATCACAAGGTTCGTCATTGGCAATTCTCCTTAATAAGACTATCTATTAATTTCAACATAGCTTTAAAAAGAGTTCTATCTTGTTATAAGCGGTTTAATCAAATATCTTACAATGTTTTCTTTATAAATGGCTGTACAGTTTGAAGATTGCCTATGTTTATTTCACAATTAAACTTAGAAAATGTAATTTTTGAATTACCTGCATTTCAATGTCAACACGTAATGAGATTTAAAGTGTGTGCAGAGTTGAGCAGTACCGCGAATACTTGTATCTAAGATATAAGATCCTTTTGTATCTTGAACTCAATAACTTTTTGACATTTTTTAATAAGATACTAGTATGTTTATCTAAGATCCTTTATTCTGAAAATAATCTTGTATCTTTTTCATATTCATTTTCTTGATAAAAGATACAGATACATTTTTTTTAAAAATATTCATGTTTAAAATTTTGCATATCACAGTATATATATATATATATCTTATTTTCTTTGAGAAACTTGTATTAATTTCCTTACTTTCTACCATATTTTAAATATAATGACAATCAAAATTAGCTGGAAAATTTACAACTAATAATAAAGTAGATAGATAAAAAATCACAACAAAACGTAA